AATTTTTAGTGTAAACAGAAATTTTGCCACACTTTTTCTTTCTTATCAGTTATCATGTGCCTTTTTAACTGACATTTCAGATTCAAGACAAAATTTGTCTCCAACAAATTTTTCTCTGAATTTTGAATTTCCGATTTAAAAAGATTTTAATAATTTTCAGATGGTCCATTTTTCAAAATTTATAAAATTTCCCAACCAATTTTTCAACAAATTAGAAGTCCTAGCAATATCTTTTGCCAGAAGGAAAGCCCAATTTCATTGTTTATATGGCTCAGAAAAATTGAATATCGATTTTTTACAATTTGGAGAGGATACAGTAATCCGACATCTAAATGAAGAGATTACTGTAGAAAACGTTGATTTTTTATCGATTTTTTTGGAAGATTTGGAGAAGATTTTAAAGGAGCAGAGGAAGAAATTTCGAGTTTTTTTCATTGATTTTTGGTATTCGGAAGATCACAAAAATCAGGAATTTCGTAAAAATTATTTGGATCCAATTGAATTTCGAATTTATAAAAACTTGGAAAAAATTCTAAAATCTGACCAAAAACTGATCTGTGAAACAGTGGCATTACGAACACATTCAATTGCCAATGCTATTATGGTGCTACCGTACTTTGATATGCAGGCAATGAATACAGTACGCCTGATAGATTTGGATGATGGGATTACTGTAGATGTGATAAGGTTACTGTCATTGGAAATGTGGAAAACGGAGAATTTTGATGAAGAAGAAATAAGGTTATGGATCAAAGTGGAGGAAATTACACTGGAAATGTTGGAGAACATTCGAAAAGTTAGTTTTTTTTTGAATTCTTGAATTCTTGAATTCTTGAATTCTTGAATTCTTGATACTGATTTTTTGAAATGTTCGCATTTCTCGGAATTTTTCAAAATTTCATCGAAATTTCGAATTGAATTTTAGATAATTAGAAAAATCTGAAATTCTAAATTTCTAATTTTCATACAGGTTTTCATCAGTCGTCCATTTTTCTCTATTTGGCTCCATTGTAAAAACCATTTCGAAAAATCAATATTTCCTGAAAGTTTCGGAGGATTCCAACCACTTTCGAATTCTCCAAGAGTCAAAAAATCTGAAGTTTGGCCAATTCCAAATGGAAAAAATCGATTTTTCGGATATCGATTCGACGGAAATAATGTGAATTTTACCAGTTTCAGTTTCGAGGAAAAGGCTAAAAAGGCAAGAGTTTCAGATGTGAGTACAGGGTGGCTTTCAATTACCGGCACATGTTTGAAAGAGGTTTTCTCGAAAAGTAATAGCCGAAAACCGATGAAACTCAACAGTATATTTATTTAAACGTACGAAAATTATAATCAACAAGAATTTTTCGATTTGGTCATCGTTCGCCTCAGTTACGGTCGGAAGACGTCGTCGGTAGGCATTGATGGTGGCACGGTCGAAAGTTTGTACCATTTCTCGAAAAGTATTTGTTCCAGAGCCGCTAAAGTTGAATAGGGTGTTGAGCAGACCTTGTTCTGCAAAACCCTAGATGAAATAGTCAAGGGGTTTCAAATCCAGCGAGTAGGCTGGCCATTCGTCTCCCCAGGCAGGTGCGCCTCGCACCACTGCTGGGTGAATTTGGCGGTGTGGCCTGGAGCTTCGTCATTCTGGTGAACCAAATGTACCCGTTCAAAGTAGTATTCGGTCCGTGGGAGCAGATTCTTCTTCAAGATTTGCTCGATGTA